CAGCCTGAGCAGCCCCCACCTCCCCTCTCTTCCCCTCCCCCAGCGGCCCTGCCAGTGGGCCATGGTGCCGTGCCCGCTGAAGCTGGAATCCAGCAGGGACAGCCTCACTTCACCCTGGCTCCAGCCGGACCAACCGGGGCAGGGCAGACGCCTGCCACCTCCACTCACCTTCCAGGCAGCAGGAAGGCAAGTGCTGCTGCACGGCTCTGCTGGTGAGGTGGGCGAGCCTCACAGCTTTTGTGCGCAGGCACCCAGCGTAGAGAGAACCCTGCTAGGAGGGGGAAGCGCTGGGCTGGTTCCCTGGGGAGAGGGTGGAACCTCCATCCCTAGGGGTGTTTATGTCTCGGCTTGACCAAGCCCTGGCTGGGATGGTTGAGTTGGGGTTGGGAGGGGGCTGGACTCGATGACTCCTGAGGTCTCTGCCAGCCCTGGGATTCCAGGGTTTTATTAACATTGTATGAAAAAGTATGGACACTCAATGACCAATCACAAGAAGAAACAGGGTTTCTCCCAGGCAGAAAGGAAGGCAGCTCAAACGAAAGTACGCAAGGTAGGCACAGTATTTCCTCCAATTTTTATGTCCATGTGCAGAAAATGTCATGTCACTGCTCCCCTCCCCCCCTACTTTACAGAAATTGGCTTATGAATATGAGAATGCATGATCTGAAGATGCTGTATGCAAAACAGATCATGTGACATGCCGTTTGAAAGGTCGTAACCCACTGAATCCATATCTCCTATTTGTGTGGATGTATCTTTCTTGCATGTGAAGTTAGAAATATGAAGTGTGAATCTGCTTATGATTCTAAATGTGCTAACGAGCGCCATTAGGGATACTTTGGGATCTTAATGACTCAGTTCTCATACTCATGACCTGTGAATAGCCTGGTTTGTCCTGCAAGCCCAAACTACTGTTGGTCTCAGAAAGACCAGTGGCCAGGCCACCTGATGCAGAAACTCGTTGTGGGTCCTGTACTTTTCCACTGAAGGTGAGAAAAGTTGGAACTGAGCACAAAGAGCTTCCATGGGGGGGTAGGAACCAAACATAGGGGCAGTTGCCACACACCAGGAGAGACCCCCTCACACACACATGCACACTTGCCACCTAAGATGCCTGTTGGAAACACTGCACGCTTGTTTTGGAATAAACTGTTCTGGAAGAGTTACTCTAAAATAGCTTATTTCGAAATAGCACGTCTACACTGCAGGGAGGCCTCAAACTGAGTCCGAGACAGGCCTCCATAATAGACGTGCAGCCTTGATTGAGAGCCCTGGGGAGGACTAACTTACAATGGCCCTGGGGAGGGGCTATTTCGAAATAGCAGCAGTGGAGCGTCCACAGGTCTTGTTCCAAAATAGCTATTTCAGAAGAAGTGTTTTTCCTCGTGGAATGAAGTTTACAGAAATCTAAATAAGCCGCCCGTTATTTTGATATTATTTTGAAATAACGGGATTGCTGTGTAGACCCTCGCATTGTAATTTCGGAATAACGCTAGTTATTCTGAAATAACAGTGCTGTGTTGACACACCCTAAGACTGAACAGGGGGATCAGTCCCAAGCTAGGAGGTTGCTTAGCTTGTGAAAGATGTTTAGAACCACTGCTTACGGTAGGAATTTTCATGTAACAAGTTTCTTAGTGGATTAGGATGAGATGGTGTTTTTTGTCTATTTTAATGTAGTAATTTATTTTGATCTAACTGTTTTCATTTGGACGCTCTTAAATCCTATTTTTTATACTTATTATGATCAAGTCCAGACAGGTGCAGGCTACTCTGGGGAGGGTATGTCTAGACTACATGCCTCTGCTGACAGAGGCATGTACAATAGGCTACCCGACAGTCAATGAAGTGGGGATTTAAATATCCCTAGCTTCATTAGAATAAAAATGGCCGCCACGCTGTGCCAGCTCAGCTGATCATCCACACAGTGCGTGAGTCAAGACGTGGAGCAGTCAACAGGGGAAGCCTTTGTCAACTGCTCCCTTATGCCTCGTGGAACAATCTAATTGCTTTGCATTCACCAGGCTTTCACCTTTTTTTCATAGAACCCTAGAATCCCAGGGCTGGAAGAGACCTCAGGAGTCATCGAGTCCAGCCTCCTGCCCAAGGCAGGGCCAATCCAACTCAATCATCCCAGCCAGGGCTCTGTCAAGCCGGGACATAAACACCTCTAGGGATGGAGACTCCACTACTTCCCTAGGGAACCCATCCCAGCGCTTCCCCACCCGCCTAGGGAAATAGTTTTTCCTAATATCCAACTTAGGCCTCCCCCACTGTAACCTGAGCCCATTGCTCCTTGTTCTGCC